AGAGAGAGAGAGAGAGAGAGAGAGCGAGAGCGAGAATGAATCTAACTTTGACCAATAAGCGGCCTGTGTCATACGTAGCTGCTCAGAGCTAGACGTCTGCGGACCGACGGAGACAACGCCCGCCCGCAGCGAGGAAGCAAGTTCGGGGAGGGCTGTACGGCAAGCCAGTTTCTATAGAGACGGCTTCCCCTGGAGCTCCATATGTATCTGCAGATGAGAGCCTGGAGAAAGTTGTAGCGAGCTACACGAGAGGTTATAGGAAAAAAGAGGGAGAGGGAAACAAGCCCAGGGTGAGGGTGTGAGAGAGGAGGAGGGGCGGCTTGGGGGTGGGGGGACAGCATCTGCTGGGGTTCCATCTCCAGCACTGTAAAAACAAACCAACAAAAATCCAGACTAGAGTGAGAGAAAACAAAGCGAAGGCATTCCGACAGAATGGAAGGGTGCGTATAAAGTGCTTTTTTACCCTCTCGCTCACACGCACAGCGGTTTTATGTATAAAACACATATATTTGTTTTATACACATAGGGTCACATTCCACACACTGCTTTGTAGCTTTTCCAAAATTTAAATTGTAAGCCATGTGATGGTGCATGCCTGTAATCCCAGCACTCAGGAGGAGAGGCAGGAGGATTGCCGAAAGTTTGAGGCTGGTCTGGGATACACGGTAAGTTCAAGGCAGCCTGAACTGCGTAGCAAGACTCCATTTCAAAAAAATAAAAAATAAATAACGTTTAAGTTGTACATTTATATCACCATTTTTATGTTGTTTTATTTATTTATTTTTTTTTCTGCAAAGCTTTATTCAAGAGGGGCTCAGTCCTTTTTGGCAGCTGCCTTCCTCATGGCGGCCAGCCCGTTGCTCAGCTCCTCACCTTCCTCTTGGTGTGGATATGCATCCCCACCCTTTTCTTGATGAATTTGAGGGCACACTTGTCCTTGGAGACCTTGACAGCTCCATGGCACCCCGTTTGTAGGGGGTGAAGCCGCGCACCTCCCCGATCATGTCCGGCGTGAACTTGGTGCATTTGGTAAGGCGTCTGCGGCGGCAGCTGTGCCTCGGTTTGCTCACATTCTTAGTCACCTTGTGGCCCTTGTTGAGGCCCATGGCCATGGGACAGCAGAGGGCCATGGCTACTCTTCTTCAGTGGTTGCTGTGGCGGAAGGCTATATCACCATTTTTTAAAAAAGATTGATTGATTGATTGATTGATTATTGGGTCTTGCTACACAGCTTGGACTTGCAGTGATCCTCCTGTCTCAGCCTCCCCAGCACTGGGATTACGGGTGTGTGCCACCACACCCAGTTTCAGTGGCCGGCTCACAGCAGAGCTGTCACAGCATGTGGTACAGGGGATCAAACCTGGGTTCTTGTGCTTGCCAGGCAGATACTTAGACCACCACCGAGCTATCTCTCCAGCCCTATATCACCATTTTTTATACAACTGTACAATATTCTATGTTATTTTCAGAATTATAAAAAACCAAGGGACTTAAACAAAGCTTAAATGTCCAAAGAAGTACCAAGATGTCCAAAACAGAGTAAGACATATTAGTATATATAGGGATTACAATATTTTCTATAATTGTAGAAAAATCACCAATGATTAAAACACAGGAATTACTGAGGCAAAAACACAGATTTTAGTGAATGTGTTGCGCACAACTGTAATCCCAGCACTCGGGAGGCCGAGGCCATGAGGCCCATTGTGCATGAGGCCAGCCTGGGCTCCACAGTGAGACCCTGCCTCATGGATGTGGGCGGGGGAGGGGAGCACAAACATTCTCCATTCTGGAGTGATTGCCATTGAGTGTGGGGTGCGCAGCAAGGCTCCTGGGCCAGCCGGCAGGCCTACAGCGCCCAAGCGTCTCTGCTGTATTTTAAAGTATCTTGGTAAAATCTCTCATTGCGGGGCTGGTGAGACGGCTCAGATTACGTGGTCTAAAGCACCTACTTAGAACAAGCTTAGCAAAGCACAGGGACCGCGGTTCAGTCCCCCAGCACCACATGCCAGCCAGCCCCGCCCCCTGGTGGGCTGAGTTGGCCACACACACATAAATAAATACATATTATTAAAAAAATTTATCAATGTTTTAAAAAAAAATCTCTCATTGCTTCAAGAATCCAGGTTACCACAATATATATATTATGGTATAAAAGTTTTAAGTTACAAAAATGACAACAGGAGAAAACTAACCGAGACACTCTCTCGTTTTTGTCACTGAAGCTCTTGGACCAGCAGTGGCAAAGAGCAAGCCTCTTCCCCTCCTTAGGTTGCATCCAGGCTGTCTGCCCCAGGGTGGGTGCAGCGCTCACACCATAACCCCAGCACTGGATCATGAATGAATCACAAACTCTAGAAGCTGTCCCGTGACTGCATGGGGCTCTAGGGGACATCTAGACACAAACCATAACAGAGACCTAGGATAAAAGCCCAGTGTCGTCATGTATTGGCTATG